AAACCCTCAAAGCTAAACCCTAAACCCTAACTGTAACCCAAAGAAACCTTCAGTTGGCAAGTTCTCTGCTGGGTATCCCTGAAGAACCTAAATCCCCAAAGAGCCCTACATGGGGGGGTTTCAAAGGGACCCCACACCTTAGGGCTTAGGGTTTAGGGTTTAGGGTTTTAGGGTTTTAGGGTTTAGGGTTTTAGGGTTTTAGGGTTTAGGGTTTAGGGTTTTAGGGTTTAGGGCCCAGACCCTAAACCCTTGATACTTTGGATCTAGGCGGCAAGAGCCACAACGCCATCCTCAAGGCGCTGGAGGCACCAGGGGAGGCTGTTAACAAAGGGCTTGCCCCTAAATCCTAAACCCCTAAACCGCAAACCCCTAAACCCTTAAACCTTAACTGTAAGCCCCTAAACCCCTAGACCCTAAACCTTTTAGGGTTTTGGGTACGAAAAGCTTGCAACCAATAAGAAACATGTATGACATCTAGGAGCCCCCAAGCCTAAACCCTAAGCATGTCATCGTCCTTTTGATCTTCCGCTGGAACGTGGCCAAGGCTGAGGGCCAATACCCCGGGGATGGGCGGGTGGGACACAACAAGAATATGACACGAGGAGTCTCCCTCCCACACCACCCACTATTTGATTTTGATTCTCCACTATTCTATCCCTAAAACCTTTTAAAAGCCTATATACCCATGTATTTATGTGTATATACATACACCCTATAGCAAACATTTGTTAAGCCTACCAACGCCCAAGCATTTTGCATTGTTCGACTTCATATGAGGCCTTCGTCAACCTTGTGTAACCCCACTGCCTGTATACAAGTATTATATCTTGCTTACATGGGCGTGCCGCCTGAACGCTGACCATACCATGTTCTACATTGCTGTGTTGCTACCTGGAGCTGGTCTTCGCTCTTTGAGGCAACTTATTCTCCTCTCCATTCGGTCTGAGACCCTACACCCTGGACCCTAAACCGCTTGACTAAACTGCGGAGCCCGAACCACTAGTTCTACCCCTAAACCGAAGGGTCCAGCTGGGTATTTAGTGTGACTTAAGGCCCAAAGGGGTCCCGATAGAATTACTTAGTGGCCCAAATATATATATATATACATATATATATACTAGATAGCTACATGGAGCAGATGTGCAAGATTTAGCCCTTGAAGGCTGGAATCTAGGGACTCCGAGCCCCTGCAAACTACCCAAACCCTTAACCCTAAACTCTAAATAGGGTCAGGGATTCAATATATAGTATAGTAATTTCCGTTTTATTTTCCATTATCCCAATATAGTAGTTTCCATTTTCTTTTCCATTATCCCTATATAGTAGTTTCCATTCTCTCTTCCATTATCCCTAAACATAACCCCAACACATTCCCTATAACCCCTATATAACCCCAAGCATGCAGGAGTCTGGTGGCCTCATCCACCCCGCAAAGCGGGCGTTGCTGGGCGCCTGAGTGCTGTTCATCTTGGGCACAAAGTGCCTATAAGATCCCTGGGGGGATACGAGATTCGATTTTGATGGAAACATTAAAATCTCACGTACACAAACTACTGTAGAAGCTGTCGTTTCTGACGACACTGATCTGGTAAGGGTTAGGGCTTCTGCTTCCGGGAGATCCTTACAGCATCTCCCTGCACAATCGTAGGGGAAACTCGATTGTGCATCAGAAGGTCCTGCGCGGTCGATGCGCCGTCGCGTATGCGGCGCCTCAAGCTGCGGATTCGAAAAACGTCCTGCGCTCTCCCTCAGAGCGAAAGTAGCCAAACCATAGGGTTTTTGGGTGTTAGGTACCCCAGACTCCAGACAATTCAGATTGCAGCAGGGTCAAGGGTTTAGGGCTGGGAACCCTAAGGCCTAAACCCCTAACCCAGACCCCTGACTAGTAAACCCTTCCCTTTCACAGGGATTATAATAGGGATCCTAATATTCAGGCCCTTAAAAGGGGGAGGTTTATTAATCATGGGTCTACATTAGCCCTAAACCCTCAACTCTATGCCCTAAACCCTCATACTCCAAGCCCTACACCCTAAACTCTAAGCCCTAAACCCTAAACTCTAAGCCCTAAACCCTAAACTCTAAGCTCTAAGCCCTAAACTCTAAGCCCTAAACCCTAAACTCTAAGCCCTACACCCTAAATCCTAAACGTTCTGGGGATGATAATCCGTGCGCCTGAAGGTGTATAGCTCTGGGTAGGTCCCCATAATAAGGACTATAGTATTTTGGGATCTATATTGGGGTCCGCTTATTTTGGGAAACTACCATAAGGATTTCCGACAATGGGCCTCAGATTTTACTGATGGGCTCTCTTATGTAATTCCGTTTTGGGTTTGATACCATGTGCTGGTAAGTGACTAGAATATACCACCCAACGAGGAGCTACGTAGGAATTTCTGGGAATGAAAAGTATCTATATATGGAGCCTGAGAGTGAAAATCTGGGTTTAGGGTTTAGGGGGCTTGAAGCACGAGGCAGCTAAGCTTTCATGCAGGCAAATCTCAGCTTTACCGAGCAAGGGCATGATTGTCGCTCATGTTGCTTATGCTAAGTTGACAATGGGAAAGGGCAGCTTTCAGTGATGAATTTGGGTAGATCATATCGTTATGTAGGGACTACTATAAGACTATAAGCAGTCATACCCGCTAGGCATGAGTAAGTGAAGGAGGCGCCCTAAACCCTAAGCCCCAAACCATAAAAGCTAAGCCCCAAACCCTAAATCCTAATCAACCCGAAATTTCTGAGCCCTAAGCTTTGAATTCTTAACCGCAGAGACATGGGCGCTGAACTAGCACTTTTCGCTTACCCCGAGATACGATGAATTGGTGGGTTTTCCCAGAATTTTGGATAGGATAGGGATTTTATAGAGAGTGGAACGTTACGCGGCCCCCGAAACAAAAGCGAGCACGGAACGTACCTTTTTGATTATACAGGTGACATATCGGGTTATATTGGGTTTAGGGTTTCCGAAAATCAGGGATCCTTCTTTGGGGATCCCCGAATACTGATTGTAGTATTGGGTGTCTATATTGGGATACCCCTATTGGGCTGTGGTTAAAGAGAAACTTGTTTTTGCGAATACCTGAACCCCACATAGCATAGACCAAGAATGGTCAGTCCTAACAGCACCTCGAAAATGCTCAAGAACAGCAATGCCCGTATTAAAACTTCTTCATTCCCTGCATAATCCTAAAACCTACACCCTAAGCCGTAACTCCCAAACCTTAAGCCATGCGTTTGACATGTCAGCTTCCCAAAAGACAGGTCATCCAACAGAGACCCCCTACAAAACTACTATCTAACCCCAGTCTCCATTCTATGTCCCATGCTCTTGTCCATTCCATTCTCCATTATTGTGGTAATATCCTAAATACCCCAAACCTCAAACCCTATACAATCCCTTTATGTCTCGAAATAGCCGATTGTGCAAGGATCTCACCAAAGCCTAAACCCTGCCATATCCCAGATCCCAGGCATACGGCATACGGCGCGGATTGTCCAGCCTGCTATACTATTTGATCTCTGCAGATACGCAAAAAAAGATCCGCTCCAGTGACTCCAGTGGATGTATGAATAGGGGCTGGTTAAGACAGATTAAGAATAAGGTTTAGAGTTGAAGTCTGTAGGGGGTAGAGTTTAGGGAAGAGGGTTTACAGTTTAGGAGTTAGAGTTCAGGGCTTCGGGTCTATGGCTTGGGTATACGCTTGAGGTTTATATGTGGGTGATCCAGGCTCATGTAGGGATATTACACACAGTATTGGAGAATCAAATGCAAAGGAGTGAAGAATGATGAATGAAATTGAATGCTGGGATTGTATGAGTTGTAGTCTAAACTCCTTGAAGGGGATATAGGTTTTAGGGTTAGTTTGCCAGTATCAACCCTAAACCCTATAAACCCTAAAAATTTGGTGTATGTTTCATGGCTTCGGATTCGGGTTTTTTAGGCTATGGGGCATAATTGCTGAGAGAATTTGCAGCTCTGCTGAAGGTACCCTGGCAAATATAGGGGCCTAAACAATTACCAGTATTATGGTTCCATATTCCTTGCATACTCATAGTATATGATACCTCAAATGGACCTCAAAATGATATTGGTAATTACTCTGGCCCCTGGAGTATATACAAATAGCAACGGTAACTCTAAAAGACCTGGGTTTATAGGGTTTACAATCGGAGCGAATTCCCTAAACCCTGTGTATCCCAATGTAACGTACATAGAGCACCTTTCAACCCTGTTTTAATGAACACAATATTGGAACTTGTTAGGGCCCTACATGAAGTGGCTTGATGCCTTGCAGCAGCAGTTTTCGACGCTTCTTAGCCTCTGCAGCTCTAAGCCCTAAACTCTCGTATGGTTTAGGGCACATCGGATCTACGGATAATGATGTTATAGTGTTTGCCATATTTAGAACCCTGGACCCCCTAAACCCACACCCTCAACCCTGTAGATCCTAGACCCTTACCATCTCCATGCGTATGGAACCTGCAGGGGGTTGTACTTACAGACTGCTGTCCTTTTCAAAGGACCTACAGAGTGTACCAAGTTTAGGGTTTAGGGGGTTCTATGCTGTTTTTGGAGCAGGAGAGACGAATTGGAGGGTCGGGGGGACATGGACAGTAGGTTAATGATTGCGATAACATGCGATAACTTACATGGGTGTTTGCCAACATTAGGAGTACGAGCTTGGGGGTCCCAATAACAAGGATTATAGCATTTGGGTGTCTAAGCTGGGGTCCGCTTATTTTGGGAAGCTACCAGATGACTTGAAGCAGTTACAAGTATATTGTATACTTACTAAACTCCCTGACCTCCAAGTACAGTTTACCCTAAACCCTAAACCCTAAATCCTAACCCCTAAACCCTAAACCCGATATTTTCCCTGAGGCCATCATCGTTCTGCTGTCCTATCGCTGGAAGTCAGAAGCGCCTGGAGCCTATCTTCTGACATGGGAGCTTCGCGAAAGTAGGTACAGTCACAGACACTCGGATATCTTGCTGGCTACGAAACCCTAAACCCTTACCCCGAAACCCCTAAAACCCTAAACCCTGAAACCCTCAAACTTTAAACCCTGAAACCCTAAACCCTCAAGCCTGAACCAGGGACTTTGAGTATGGGAGGTTAGAGACTTTGATCCATTGCGACATACTCACTGGGTTAGATGGGGTTTGGGTTCAGGGTTCTAGGGTTTAGGGTGTTGGGGTTTGACTTTTACAGGTTTAGGGTTTAGGGGTTTAGGGATCTGGGGTGTGCCTTCAGGATGTAGAATTCGGGGAATTCCTGGTGCGTCGTGCAAAAGATACTAGGGAAACACCCAATTTCTGACCAGGTATAGTAACATCCTATAGTCAACTATACTCAATATGAGCTATAGTCTAAACTCCTTGAAGGGGGTTATATGAGAATTCTATAGTGGACTACTATAGGAAACATTAAGGGGGATACTAGGAGTCTAGACTAGAGCTCATACGGTTCGTATATGCGATTAGGGGATATAAAGGGGCATGTACGGATGATTAGGGCTATATAGGAGTATACATACATGTATATATATATATATACATTTCTATATATATGTGTGTATATATATATATATGTATATGGGGTAGAAAGCACGTGGGGTATTACGGGGCATCCAATTAAAGATTGCATGGAAAGTGGGGTTATCTAGTGAGTTTTAGGGAGTACAAGGGGGATCACCTAACAACGCTTAGATGGTTGTAGTATATGATCTCCTCGTTCTAATCTTCACCCCTTCCATTGCATTTTGGTAGTTGAGGGGTTCTTTCAATTCACCCTTTGTAGGCCCCGAATCCCTCTAGAGGGGCCCTACATAATCCTAAAACCATGAAAAAACATGTATATCCTTATTCTAATGTTCTTCTGCTGTGCAAAGCTCTCATATAGGACTTTCACAGAATATTGCCTACGTACCCCCATATAATAAGAACGACTTCCAGAATCTCTTGCAATCCCTAGAAGTCACCAAGGGCCCCTCCTTTTCGAGATGTCCCCCGTGCTTCTTAGGGCGACTATGGAAGCAGTGGCCTTCGTCAACGCAGGCCTCTTGTGGTAGGGATATAAAGGTGTACGTCGGGGTACACAAGGGGAGAAAGAGTGAGAGCGAGCCAGAGACAGGGCCCTAGGGCTTTCCATGTGGCCTGCCGAAGGCGAAGGAGAGCGAGGGAGAGAGTGAGACATGTATATGGGGGTTTCCCAAGATTAGGGGTACCATTTTGGGGTTCCCCATAATAAGGATTATAGTTGGTTGGGGTCTATATTGGGTCCCCCTATTTAGGGAAACTACCATATATGGGTTTAAGTTTTGAGTCTTAGGGCTCAGGGTTGAAGGCTTGCGGTTGCTAGCCGCAAGATCTAGCGCATTGGGTTTAGGGATCAAGGCTTGCAGTTTGGGGCCCGGGGTCATCTGGTTAAGAAAGCATGGAGCGCATAGCGCTTG